ATGGGAGGTAGTTCGGGGGTGGGGGGGGGCGACCCCATGTTGAGACACGTGAGCCTTTAAGGCTAAGTGTGCGGAGCTCTCCCATCGACGGGACTGGCGCAGTTATATAAGTTTTAACTAACCCAGACCATCCATGGGACTAGAATAGCGACTTACATCAATAGTGTCATTGTCATGGGACTAAATGCACGTAGTTCTTCCAGTCCCATTTCATCCATTTGGTTGCTTTTTGTTGGTACATTTGCTGCCTTTTTCCACCCAGACAGGTCAGCCAGGCCACCTATAGCGTGCGGTCGTCGATGATGGTCGGTCGTGTAGATGGTCGGTCGTGGCCAGGAAGTGATGGAGCAGCAGACCGTGAGCGTGGCGACGCTTGGATAGCGGGAACCGATCGGATCGGGAGATCGGTTCGATCGCTCCTGAGCGACGCTGTGACGTGTGTGTGTGGCGACGTGTGTGGCGAGTCCTTTTTTTTTTGGTGCGTGGCGTGGGGCGTGTTTTCTTAGAATTCCAGATGGGTTTGGTGGGGAAAGGTCACATGTTCGGGGCACCAGAAGGACGATTTGAGCACCCTCTTGAAGACTAGACTGCGTGGTTTTTGTTTCCACCATTTGGCATGTTTCTGGCATCTAAGACTACATAGCTGGTTAAGAGGCAAACTGGGGCACATGGCTGGGAGACTTGTTTTTTTTACTGATCTATGGGTACAGCCAAGCTTAGAAGTTAAGATCGATAGTTTGTAGTTATAACAGCAGGAGAGAAACAGGAGCCAACGTGTTTTCCGATTTGCTAAGTGATCCAAGCGGTTGACGCTTGACGGGTATCCAACCTCTGAACAAAGGATCCAGCACCAAAGGTTTCTGCTTGGGGGCCCTTCTACACAACTCTAAACAGCCTTCGGAGGTCCAATTCCCTAATGCAGAGATCATCAGAGATCCATTCTTCCCTACTCTTCCAATCCCATCCAGCGACATCTCCATGCACTAGTCGACCTCATCTCCGAAGCATCTTCTGCTGCCTCAACTCCGTCCCAGACCGGTCCTCGGCGAGGAAGGCTGGCATCGTGTGCTCCTTGAACGCGCGCACCGCCATTTTAGCCTCCGCCAATCCGGCGGACTCCTGCTACAATCCCAAGCTCTCGGCGGCTCGGAGAGCGGAGTACGGCGAACACTTCGCGGTGCAGTTGCGCGCTTCTGAGAGAGACATAGAGACTCATTATGATGATTGAAAGGGATCAAAAGAAAGCCCTGAGAAGAGACCTGGAGAAACCGGAGAGTTTCTCAAATGTGTATAGGGTTTTTCCATGGTGGTCCTTCTCCAGATTGGACAACTGATTTGATGTGGACAACTACTGTAAACACAACAAGTTTGAGATGAATTACCCAGCGGATCCACTTAGCACAGCTGGCAACCAGTGATGACCTAGAAGCATCTAGAAACCCTTGTTCCTTAAAGTATATAGTGGAACTGGAACCCTGCAAAACCCAGCTTTGCTGTCGACGAGGTTGGAAGGCCTTACATCCAGTTTTATCCTGTTTGGCAGGTTTCCCGTATCTCCCACAAACCTTCCAGAAGACAGACCAGCAATTTCCGCCGGCTTGTTTTTCAGATCCCAAGTTGTATTTCCTATAATCGACACATGCCTGATAATATTTGTGTCCAAACATGTTCCAACCAATGGCCGCCTATAAAACCCAGGGCATCCAGGCAAACCACGATGTCGCTGGTAACCAGTGGTTCCAAAGATTATACCATAGACCGACCTCGAATCCCTGGTTCCTTGGTACTCGTTCGTCTGGGATGCACTGAGGGACATCTCCAAACCCTTTCGCCCCCATTCGCGCACGAATACGCGCCGTGCCCTGCACCAAAGGTGGTGGAGAACATCAAATTGCCGAGCCTTTGACCGCAGCCAGGGCAGCCCGCGTGGCCTGACACCCCCGTGCCGCGCGTGAGCGCGCGGACAGACGGTCATGCGACGCCAGTGGCGAGTAGCTCGGGCACCATGGATGGGTCAATTGGGTTTTGGGTCCCATGCATGGTTTGGGATGGGGGAAGATCGAACCAAAGGGACAGGTGGGAAAAGCTTCACCTGGACTTTTTCGTGGAAAGGCCAAAAAGGATAGAAAAGGCATCAGCAGTCCATGAAGGCTGAATGGCGGCCAGTGTTTTGGGCCCGTTGGGCCATGGGTGTCTTGGTCAAAAGAGAACTGTGAATCTAACAAATCAATCCAGGTTCCTGGACCAGCAAATCCAAGACATGGACGTGGCGTTCGGCGGCATGACGTCCTCCCAGCGTTCGTCCTCCGGAACCGGTTCTGGACGGATGACGTCAGTGACGACATGGCATGGACACGTGACGCCATTGTAGGATGAAACAACCAGTGCATGGGGAACCGGACTGGTGCGTTCTTTTGAAGTATATGAATTCTCCTCAAACCACAGGGGTAGAAGCCTGGTTTGGAGTTCTGAGAGCGATGTATGCACTGACTGGTAGGGTAGGAGAGAGGCTGTGTGTGTAGCACTGAACTGGAAGAACTGGGTCTCAGGAAGAACCTTATGACGAGATTCGACTTGATCTGGCTGATGCTGGATAAGCGGCACCGCGACAACGATCATCGGCGCCTGGGCGGGTGGAGGAGTTTGGATCATCCGCGAAGATCCCGAGGGAATCTCCTGGCTGGAAGAACTCTCAGTACCCTGGCAAGGAATAACTCCAGTACCCTGGCAAGTCACGATGTACAGTATAGATAACTCCAGTACCCTGACTGGAATCACTCCCTACCCAGTACCCTGGCAAGCCAGGAGCCTCCCTGCCAGGTCGTGTTAAGGCCCACCCCTCCCTGCCGTGAGGAGAGAGCTGGGACCGAGGTGAGGATTCTGCTAGAGGGATTGATGCGAGGACCGGTGGAGTGTGACGGGGACGGAGCGCCGCCGGTGTCGGGCGGTTTAGGACGTTTAGGCGTGTTATCCCACATCTAGCTTCCACAGTTGGGATCAAGACTTCTTGATTGGAAGTGACTTCTTGAGCTAGACCTTGTTTTGATCGAACATCCCGAATATGTCTCGAAATATCTCTCCAAGCCTCCAAGCGTTTTCCTCCTGCGAACCACCCCTCGGCGACACTTTTTTAGGGGCGGGAGACAGACGGTCCCCGGCGTTCCGCAACGTGCGGGTCTCCTTAGGCTGGCGATGCATTTGTTGTCCATGTACTCGGAGGGTGAGAAGAAACAAGTGGAGCCCGAGGCCGCGCCGGCGCCGGAAGAAACAGACCGGTTTGGGTTCGGGGCGGGCGGTTCGGGTTCGGGGGATGGGTTCGGAAGGTGATGGTCGGTGGGTTTCTTTGGGGGGGGGAAACCAGCTGAAGATTGGGGTGAAGGAGATGCCAAGGAGACGGGCGTTGTGTGTGTGTGTGTGTTCTGATTGCTTTCATAACTGTCATGGCACTTTTTACTGTCAAGCAGGCAAGGCACGTTTTCGCCCCAGAAGCCACCAGTTTCGCAAGTGTGTAAATGGTACGATGTTCGATCGAGGAGCGCTTGCACAAAATGACCTCAAGAGTAAAGCAGCCAGCTCCTTCAGTTCGTCACCAAACTTTGAAGCCTCTTGGTACCCAGTCAGTGCATAACCTTTATACATTTACATAACCTTTTTTGGATTATTGTTTTCCACTAAATCCCAGGGCATCCAGTTACCACTAGTTCGCTGGGAGTCCCAGTGGTTCCACTTCGACTCAAACCATAGACCGAACCAATCCCTGGTTCCTTAGTACTCGTGGGAACTGCCTGGGATGCACTGGGAATATGAACAGATGACAAAAAGGTGAACCTTCTTTCCCCAGGGATCCACATACCGAACCTCAGGAGGTACGACTGGGCCCTCCAAGCTTACATAAATAGTCTCCGTCCTCACCGTAGCTGAGAAGGTACTTGGATCCCTGGGTTTTTTCCAATGAACCAGCTCGGGTCACTCAGTGTTTTCAGTGACCTCATCGTGACCTGGGAGAAGAACTGAAGTCGATCACGAAGCTGTGTGTGACCTGGCAGGATGGCAAGCCCAGTCTGACGCATCGGTCCAAACGGTCCCAGGATCAAAGGCCTCATGTCTCAAGTGGTGTGGACTGGTCTGATCAACTCCAACAGCCAGGACCTTCAGTTCGTGACCGAACCTGAGATCACTCAGGTTTGAGGTCACTTAGTCCATCAAGAGGTCACTTACTCCAAAAGAGGTCACTGACTGAAGGTGATGGGGTCGGTTTTCCATGTCATTCGATCATGGGATGTTTGAGCCAACTCCATGGAGAGGGGCCCTCCATGGAACTGGTGAGAGGTGAGATCTCCACCATTTCTGGAAGGTTTTTGTCCACTCCCAGACACGACCTGTTTGGGACTGCATATGTATGCCATAGGACTGCCGATCAGTTGGTGGTTGACTGGAGGTCAATGTAGGCAATGGCAGTCCGAGACGGGTCATGTTTGGGACTTGGACCACCAGGCTTCTTCCACCCGTCAGCGGTCGGTCGGTCTGTCACCTGTCCTTCGTTTCAGCGAAGGACTAAGACAGCTCCAATGTGGGTTAAATCTGTTGATCTGGCGCACTAGATTGGAGGAGTGAAAGGAGCAACGCATCCATTCCCGACATCCCCGCAGCATTGCAGGTCCAGTCCGGACACTCCGATCCGGCCAGAGGTGGATTTCAAGGGGTACCAAAGTACCCTCCAAAGTACCCCAGGGCATCCAGGCAAACCACGATGTCGCTGGGAGTCCCAGTGGTTCCACTTCGACTCAAACCATAGACCGACCGAACGCATCCCTGCTTCCTTAGTACTCGTGGGAACTGCCTGGGATGCGGTACCCTAAGCCCTGGCGGCACATGGGACGTGACCCGAACCCCAAAAACGGACCGAACTGGGGCCGTTCCCAGGACCGACCCCTTATAGGCTCCTGGCCCATCTCCTCAGGTGGTTAGACCCCCCTGGCACCCACCCCAACCACCGAACCTCAGGAGGTGGGCCAGGAGCCCTAGGGGACTGTCGAATTCAGGGTCGATCGATCCGTGACCACGGCAGGTGGATGCGGAGACCTTCCGGCGCTATGTGGCCCGGCCCGGAAAAGAGCTCCTTCGCGGCGCCCAAGGATCTGGAGGTTGATGGACCAACCGGAGACCTGTTGGAGGGTCCTGGTATATATAGATCCTATCCTAACCCTCATTCCTTAGTCAGTTTTATGATAGCTATATATGATATACCAGGACCTTCAAAGTGACCTTTTGAGATCCCAGTTTGAGATCACTTAGTCCATTAACAAGAGTCACTTACAGACTTCAAAGAGGTCACTGACTGAAGGTCCTGGTATATGATGAACATATCTAAAAATGCGTTCAAAGTCCCGCTCCCCCTGACTCCATTCAGTGAAGAAGAGAGGTTCTGCACTTAGAACATAGCTGGAACATACCCAGACACTCCGTCATCGGACGGATCGAAAAAGGCCTTCAGTTCCATCATCTCCCAAGTGGGTAGAAGGGTCAGAGAGTGGATGCTGGACTTGAGCAGCTGAAAAGTTTCTCCGACTTTTGGGAAGGCATTTTTTGGGCTTCCCCCCCGGCTCCTCGGGTGAATTTCTCGTTGGCGGGAAGAAAGAGGTTAGTGTGTTTTTGGATTCTGTTTCCCCCAAGCGACCTCCAAAACGTACCCATCGGGCGCCTCGAGGTGTCCTTTGCTCGGCAGTGGGTCTTCCCCACCATCTCCGACGAGGCGGCGGAGGTCCTGAGCGCCAGCCGCGTGGCGCGCAGGGCGGAGGGAATAGAGAGAATCCAGATGAATCCAGTCACTTCATTGTGAAAGGAAGTTCAATGTAGATAAATCTTCCATACCTGGACCCTCCAACAGGTGTTTCCTGGTGACAAGTTCGGTGCCCAGAAACCACCTGTTAGGATCAAACAGCCTGGCCAGGAGGGTGCACATCAAATCTGTCCAGCAAGTCTGTGCAAAAGTTTTTTGGGGGCGATTGGGGTATGTCTTAGGCTATACTGCTTTTCCACAGAACTGGTGGAATATAGAGGCCAGAAACTGGTCTAAGGTATGTCCCCACTCAAATCCACTCGGTGAAAAGTTTGCTTCACCAACTTTTTCCATGCTAAGGGCATCGCGGGAAAAAAGAAACACACACACACAGGCATCCGGAGCTCAGATGAGTAGCATTGAGTGAACCGAATGTTTTGATAGGAATGTGTCGAGCATATTTGAGGGTGAAAAGTGATCCTGGAATGTGCTCGACACCTTCTGGATATAAGAGCGCAGGATTAAAAAAAACATATATCCAGGTTATTTTGCTCTTATATCCAGGAGCATACCTGAAAAGAGGATATAAGAGCTCACAAGTTGGTTCTATAGCTATGTCGAAGCAGAGGGTGACACCCGCACCCGCCCTGGCCTGTTGGTGGCTGAGACAGGTAACTAGAGTGGAAAGCAGGCCACGGTGGTAGTTAAGATATTGTGAAGCAGTGCAAAACACCGCGTGTGTTCTTCTCGAATTTGATGGGCAGCACTGTAAAAGAACCCCCCTCCAAGGCAATCGCGCAGACCCTGAAATTCATTTCTGGAGGCTGGCGCCAGACACCATGCAGGGAGGGTGTTTGCAGTAGAGATATCCCAGAACCTGTTCTGGATCGACTCTCCCCATCAGAATCCGTTCTTTTTTTTAAGGGGGAAATGTTCCACTCCATGGACAGAACACATGCCATGAGGATCACAAAACCTATACCCAGACACTCCATGTATGCCACAACATTTGCCTACATAAAGCAGGGTTGGGCGGTCAATGTAGGTGTTCCATACATGGAGTGGAACTGGGAATAGGGATCGAGTGCAGACTTTGACAGGTGTTCACTGCGAACTGGCTGAGGTTACATGGACTTGCGGAACCAAGGCTCTCGCGAGGTGACACTTGGCCGCACTGCCGAAGTGCCTTCAGTGGAGACTGATACACTCCCCTTCAAACTAGCATAGACCCTTTTCCTCTACCAACCAGTGGTGTTCAGGGTCCATGTTAGTCTTCCGGGGTGTACATGTTGCGGAGGTGCAAAGACCACGGCTTTGGGTCACGGCTGGGTGCTCCAGACACCCACGGCGCGGGTCGTGAGCGGTGAGGAGGACACTCTAGATCCGAGGTGCGTTTGGGTGGAGGTCTTGGTTTTTGGTTTGACCTTTGAAATAATGAGATGCTGAAGATCTTTTGCACCCAGACGCTCGTGGGCCCTCATATGGAGGGGTCGGACCCTCATATGGAGGGGTCTGGGGTCTCAAATCCCTAGGGTGTTGAGGTACCAAGAGCTGTTTGGAGCGTCTGGGCAGTGTGTTTTCTAGTCTTGGCTTGATTGTAGTCTGACGTTCAGACTGGGCGCATGGCCGCATCGCCATCAGTCCGTGAGAAGTGTACCCTGACACGACCCATGAGACTGGTATATGTACCGATGAGTTGGGGTGGTCATATTGGGGTCTTTCTGGGACGGCACACATGACAGACATGAAATTTCTGGGGTACAAACATGGGAAGCAAGAATCTTGTATAGAAGTATTTTCAATGCATTTTTGTGGAAGTATTCCAATTGTTTGTGGGCTCTTGTAGCAGTGCTCAGCAGTATACTGTTGTAGCTTCTGTGCAGGGAAAGACATGAAAGAGCTTGAGGAACTCCAATTCGCAGTACAAACTCCTCGTGAATTTGTTCCATCCCAGCATAGCTCGCTCCCCCTCCCGCCCCTCCGCCTGCCTCAGCAGTTGCTTAGACTTGGGCTTCCACCATAACCCAGACACGACCCATTTGGGACTGCCATATCAATCATATGACTCGCGAGAAACGGCCGGTGGGGTGGTTGGGTTTGGGGGGGGTCTTTCGAAAAGGCTGTATCTCTTCCGGTCTCCGAGAGTTCATCTTTAGGAAAACATTAAACAAAACACTTGCACCTGCCTCCTAAGATGCAGAGGGGAGACACCCCCTCCGAAAAATACCACCAACACATACCTGGGGGAACCAGGTTCCTGATTTTATGGGGTCATGTCCCATGTTCTAGGCTACTGGGTCAGTCGGGTCCAGGTACCAACACCGTCAGTCGGGTCCACCGTCGGATTTCTCGGGACGTCGCCCTCCACGTCGCCCGCCACGGGTGTCTGAGGATCACGGCCACTCCACGGATCCTGGAGTCCCTCATCCGGATCTCTGAGTCTTTGGTGCCCCGGTTCAAGCCTTCGCGACCCGTTCGAGACGTTCTCGCGACGGTGGTGACCTGCCAGATTGGCCGTCATGTTTGCCATAGTCCCAAAACATGCATGTATATGGCCTATACTACATAACTACATTGGGGTGGTTTGGGGGGTCAATGTAGCCATAGATTCCATACATGCAGTGGCCATGCGCTTTTAGAGTGTGTCAGACCTATGCTTGACCTACCAAAACGCCTGGATTCCACACACCATCAAATTTGATTCATGGGCTGTACCGAACAATTATTTCTCTAGGATTCCAGACGGGCCAGTCAAACTGTCAACCTTGCTTTGATGGCCTTTGAGGGCTATGGAAGTGAAGCATTTAGACATATTTAGACCAATCATATGTTGTGTTAGCCATTACACACAAACCTGTGACATGTTTGAGGCCAAGATGGAACTACGAGAGTCTGTGCTGGCATCAGATGTGAACGAGGCGCCAAACTCATCCGCCCGAACTTCTCCAAGTTCGTCTTCTTTTTAGGTGGGTTCACAACATGCTTTCAACAACTTTCTTCACCAGTTGAATGAAGGGATGTTAGCCAGGTGCTCCATGTATGCAAGTATGGTCTACCTCTTTGGTGGTGTTTCCTGCTTCCATGCAGTGGCCGCTGTCTTCCGCAGCCAGCCGGTGATCTTTCCCATGGCCTTCAATGATTGGGTCTCACCATGTTAAAATGGGTTTTGAGGATCGGATTTCCCTAGGGCTCCAGAGGTTGAAAGACCCGAACTCGGCTATCCCATAGGTACCGAACCGTAGTGTCCTAGTTCAGGTCACTTAACCTCTGTTCCCTAGGGCTCCAGTTGTACCTTCGTTTCGCTTCGGTGGGACAACGGGGACTTTTGGGCTGGGCTGGGTGCCAGGAGGTCCAGGAGCTACCGAACCTGAGGAGGTACGAAGTCTGAGCCCTAGGAACGGTATTGTCCGTATACACTCCATGGGACTGGAATCAAAAAGCCGCCCCAAAAGACCCTCCAAACCACCCCAATTGGCAGTCCCATCAAGCGTCCCATCAAGCGTCATGGGCCATGGGTGCATCCTCCTTCTGGGGAAGATCAAATCCAAGATCGCTAGGCCTCGAAGTACCTCCTCAAGTTCGGTACCTAGACCCTCCAAAACCACCCGGGGCCCCGGTCGTCCCACCGAACCGAAGCGCTTCGGTACCGACCAACGGAGGCCAGTCACGGGGAGGAGCCGTGAACGGTCGGTCGGAGACCGTGACCGTCCGTGCGGTAGTTGCCAGGCCGTGCGTTTGCTGAAAGCCGCCACCTATGCAGCAGCCGTAGATCCGGAGACAGGCGAAAGTATGTGGAGTGGTGGGTGCGGTAAACCAGTAAGTCAAAGAGTATCAGCAAATGCATAGAGTCAGTAAGAGTCTGTAAGAGTCAGTGTAGTCAGCTTTTTTTTTGAAAACAAATGCATCTACAAATATCATCGTCACCATCATCCACTATCCACTATCCTTGTGACTCATATATAATTCAAAAGAACACTGAAGGGATATGGCATGATGTGGCTCGTGTTTGGTTCTGCACCATGTGTATGGTCATTTTTGTCGGGACAGCCCTTTTCTTCATGCTAGGCCAGAGGCCAGGCCACAATGTCAGAACCTGGGATTTGTTTAGCCAAACTTCTTATTCTTTGCAGAATGTGGCATATATAGAATAGCAGGTACAGCGGTTTTAGAGGTTCGATGGCACTGGCACCCCAAGATGTCTTTTGAATCGGGGTCCAACATATGAACTACGCATGTCTATATATATATA